TTAGAGTCTGCAGAGGCTTCTGGGAGAGCAGTCATTGTTCAGCGAGTCAAACGGAGGTTTTGACTTAACCACAGCAACAGCTAGACTGATTTAGAAAAATGTATTAATATGTCAAACTGGTACCCACTGAACAGCATTATGCAGCATGGGTTGCAACACATTTCATGCAGTGCAAAGTGTCTAGATTATTACTGTAGTTCTAGAATGTCAGAAAAATAGTTTTGACCAGCTAATAATAGCTGTTATGGCTCCTAAAGAGCCATTAACGTTTTTGTTCAATGTGACACTGTTCTTTAGAGTATTGTGCATTGTTTATTCAGTTTAATTTCGAAAATCTGGAAACCAGAAGTCACAGAGTTAGTACTTCCTGGTTAGTGATGGATTATTTGCAACTTTTCTTTATGCGTAACACAGGCTGTATATTTGTAAAAATGTTTGACACGCAGCAACATACATCTAGTGTGTAAAACTACTTTTATTGGAAGAAATAATTTGTGTTATGTAAAATGGAGAGGTTTGAATTGTCTCCAAAAGCTTCTGGATGAGAGCAGATCTGTGTGGTGTGTTGAAGTTTGGAGTTTTCACCAGAGCATCCAAAAGCCAGAAGTCGGTTGACCACTGTGAGTCAGCATTATTTGAGCTGGGTACACTCTGTGACTTTGAGGTGTTGGAGAAAGTACCTGCAGTGGATCAGCTAATAGAGAAAAGGTCATCTAACCAAAGCCGGAGGTTTGCCAACTGAACTCCATCACTGCACACGTCGTCATAGACTGGAAAGCTTGTTTGGTGCTGGGGCCTTCCCAGTATTGCCACAACGGATAACGAGGACCAGTTCACCTCAGCGAAGTTCAGAGTTCCTCACACTACAGTCCAACTTCACTGTTTGCTCTTTGAAGGTGGCTTTATTGCATAAATGTATGAAGATGCATAAAGTATTATATTTATTAAGTGTTTTGGGATACCACTCTCGCTGTGCATTGCCCAGCATCAAACAACACTTTTGACTTTTTAACCTTTTCCCTCTTCCTCACCATAGCAACTTTAATTTCAGAAGAAAGATCAGATCTGTGTTTATGCAGCAGCCTGCTGACACTATCCACGAACTGAGTCATCTCTGAGACCACGTGAATCCCGTTTTGGATTTTTGATTACTTTGTAAAAAGATGAAGAGAAACTCAACAGGACTACTGAACAATTTGTCAGTGTGTGGTGTGATTTAGGGATTTTTTTTTTATATGCTAGCTATGTGTTTGAATGATGAGGAAGTCTTGTTTCACTGAAATCTATTTCTGTATTAAAACTTCCACAGAGTTATGATGCATTATTGTAGGATGGAGTTGTGGATGGAAGGACTTGATCTCATACACTTTTCATTTTATGTGCTTAAGTTAAAGCAAGAAATTCTTCCTCTTAAACATAATGTAAGTGGAAATGAGAACATTCAGTTCACAGAATGTCACGGGATGATGACCACTTTCTCTGGTTCTTAGTAGCATTTCTGCTCACATTAGGACAATATTTAAACCAGAACAAGCCCACTCTGTTGGTGTTAACATATTTTACAATTGGCAAACTAAGATAACTGTAAAATATGTTAACACCGACACATATTGCAGCCATGGCTATTTTTGTTGTATAGCACATTTACCGCAGCTAGACAATTCAGAGTATGTTACATGATTAGATTGACAATACAACAAAAAATCAAAAATATCACATTGCAGTGGCAAAGTAAGGAAAAATAACACCAAGTTGAAAAACAGACGACACTTTATGATGTTCCAGTTGTAATTCACTGAAGGCAGCTCTGAGCAAAAGGATTTTTAGTCTTGATTTAAAGGAACTTATTTTTTCAGCATTTTCTTTTTCAGTTTTCTGGAAGTTGGTTCCAGATTAGTGGAGCATAAAAACTGAATGCTGTATCTCCGTGTTTGATTCTGATTTGCTTGATTGTTCTGTGATGTTTACTTTACATGATTTTGTTACGGAACAAAGTTTTATAATAAATAAAACTGTTTGATTATAAAAGTCAGGTAAATGTCTTAGTGCGACGCAGAAAATGTCACACAAAAAAAACCTTTCAGTACGTCTTTATTCAGTCGCCCATTTTTATAGCTTTAGACCTGCAACATGTGTATGAAAAAATCCTACATGATTAAACTTTCAAAATTACAATTGATTGATCCGAAAGCTGTCATGCTTTTGTAAGAAGCCAAAATGCCACATATGTGCATTTTCCTGTTTTATGTTGGTCATATCACGATCACAACTAACTTCCTTTTTTACATTCAAAATGAACTATTTCACATTTAAATGCTTACCAGAAATGTGTGTTAATATTTAATTAAACAACAAAGTAATGTAGTCTCATATTCTAGCATTAAAAAAATATACATGAGGAATTAATGAAACCTCTCACTCTCTCTAAGAGAAAGGACGATAAAAGAAGACTAATCCTTTCCTGTTTTATGTCAGAATCACCAAAACTGTTTCTATTTGCTAAGCTTTCTTCAAAGTTGGATGGTGGAGCATCTTTAGATATATTTGAAGGTAACATCTTCCAGCTTCCTTGGATGAAATTAATATTAAGGAAAATTAAAACAAATCAGCCAAGGTAAAAGAGAGAAACCCTCCACAGCTTTGATTCTTTACTGTGTACAGTTTCCAGATGCCTGAAGTGCTACATTTATTCTGTTAATTTACTGCAAACAAATATTAACATCATGGGAATGTCCAGCAAGCAGATCTTTTTGGAAGTGGACAGAGATGTGAAATATGGGTATCAAGGCCACTGTGGTGTATGTTAGTGGTCGTCTTCTTTATGTCTGGATGGAAGGTTTTGTAAACAAGACTTCAGGTAAACAGCAAAAAAAATATTTCAACCTGCACCCCATATCAGAACAACCGAATCATGAGCAAATTTTGGCCCAATCGTGGAAATTCCTGTTGATATTTAGACACAATCTCTATTGAACAACACATATATGGCACCATTTTAGGCATTTCCCAACCTATAGGTCTGACAGGTTTTGTTTCATAGGCACACTTTCCATATCAAGTCCTCTTCAGCTCCTGGTTTCAACCACATTGTGCTGGGATCCAAACCTTTCCTTAACTGATTAGTCCCAGTGTCAGACCATAGAGTGCCATCACATCTGTGGAGTCAAAGGGTGGCAGTGGGGCTTGTTTACTGCAGGAGGGACTTTTGCACTTACAAAATAAATGACATAATGAGGAAAGAACATTATGTAGAAACAATTATGCAAGCTCTGAAAGAAAAACTAAGTATTGGGTCTAAATGGGTACAAATAGTTCTAAGTGGACGATGAGATGTCAGTAAATTTGTTATAGTCAGTGTTTTGAAGAAATTGTGGGGATTTGTGCAAAAGATTTGACTCAGGTCAGAAATTTTAAAGGCAATTCTATACAAAAAGTGTGTAAACATCTGACTGAGCAACATAATGTTCTCATTCTTGAGGCATTTAATCATGCAGGAAAGGCAGAGTATGTAAATATATGGTTTCAACTTACTGAACATATATGTCTGTTTGTAGGGTAACTCTTACATTATCAAGAAATATAAATATTAGCCCTGGAGGATGTTGCAAACCAAGCTGACTGTACAGAGATAGGATTTCATCATACAGTGACATGTTTGCATTGTGTCCACTGAGACACATTTTAACCAAAGGTGCAACAACACAGCTGTGGTTTTAACATTTATTTAAACTTGAGTTGTAATAATCAGGACGTACTGCTGGGCCGATGCTCTAATATTGAGAATAAGTCGGTGAGGCTGATCTGTGGTAAAATATTTAGCATTCTGAAAAGAAGCAATTAACAGCAATGGGAGTCTTGTGACTTCTCAGAATCAACTTGTTAAACTAGAAAGCTGTGAATAGCTTCTTTTTGGTTGCTTAAACATGATGCTGCTTGCTTAAGAGCCACTTCCTGAATACAAGAGGCTGAAGTCTCAGAAGTGGAAATAGCCAAATATCATGTGCTTCAGAGATCTCAGAGGAAATCCATATTTAGACCTTCATACTAAAAATGTGATTTTTCTCTGGCACAAACGAGGTTTCTCTCTGTTCACTTTGACCTGAGAGTAATTTACACCGAATTGTAGCTGTAAAAGAAAGTTTCTTCTTTAATATAAATAAAAAGAATATTAGATGTTTGACAGGATATGGTGTGGATTCATATCATCCTGCCACCATGCAGAGCCTGGTGTAAACCCACAGCAGGATCAAGTAAAACTCTGTCAGCTCAGCTCCAATTATCTAAGCTCTAAAAAGGAGTCCCGTGTATTATTGCATTAAAAACGTATGAAAAGCCGCATTTCATCTGGATTCACGACAGCTCACCACCCGGTGTGAGAGCCTCGCTCCCCGGAGAGTTTTTACTCCTCTTCTTCCCCTTTTATCCCCCATTTTCTTGTGTATGTAAACAGAAGTAAAGCATTTTAAGCTTCGGGGCAAAGCGTGATGATCAAACAGCTTGCACAATCAATGACTTTGAAGAGATCTGAAAGCGCTCATAAATGTAGCTATTTCACACAAAATGAGCAGCAGAAATGAAGATATTCCCTCCTGCAGCCAGTGGCCACGTGTTTTCTTTTTTCGTCTGTATCTTTGGAAGAAGAGCGGGAAATCAAAACATGGAGGAAAGTGTGCAAGCGGAAGGGCCGCAGCTTGCACGGCACGATGTCGTTGCATGAGCGAGCATCGATGGGCCTGTTAGCTGCTCTGTGAGGAGGAGTCAGTGAGAAGACACAAAAGGTCCTCTGAGAAGTTTCACTACTTCAGGCCCTTTTATTTAAAGGAGCGTCTGACAAAAACCCAAAGTCGTCAATGTGTGCAGGATTCTCTTCTAATTCTCTATCTGCCATTTTACAGAAAACCACCAAATGTTAGCTTCAAGATATGCAAATTAGTAGCTGTTCCGTGAACATGTGTTTTATTTTTTTTTCTGTAAGTTGAAGTGTTTTCACACTTAAGCAAACGCAAGCGAAGATCAGACAAGAGATGGCTTCCTGTTCTTGGTGGTGTAGCTGAAATGAAACTTCCTGCCTCTGAGAGCCAAGGTGAAGGCAGGCTCTCAGTTCGCTGTGTGACATCACTCCCGTTTGCTTCACTTGAAACCAGAAGCAAGGTTTAGGGTTTGGGGAACAAGTCCAGGAAACTGCGTCTTCTGATAAGACAGATAAAGCGAATGTAGTTTGAAACAGATCAGCGTTTAGGGGGTTTATATTAGAAATAGAGGTTAGGTTTGGCGTCCGATTTGTTCTTCGTCCTCTTTTGGACCCGACTCGGCTTGAATCGTGGGTGACCACACACACCCTTACGCCCCGGACATGGCGGGTCTCCGAGGTCTGATGATCTTGCTGGTCCTGATGGTTGGTTTGGCTCACTGTAAGTACTCCAAAAAAATATAATAAAAGTGAAGCTTTCTTTATGAGCTGGTTGTAAGGAGGGAAGTGATGCATTCAGTGTCTTCTTGTGTCTTTCTACTGACAGTTTGTCTAAAAATGGGTTTAATTTAAAAAATAAAAAAAAACGTTGATGCGATGATGTCTAACCTCCTAAGTTAAGTTTCTGAACTTGCAGCAGATTGTTGTTTGGTGTTTATGGTAAAAGGTGAATTATTTTTTGGGAGTGAGACATGAATCTGTCATCAGCTTTTCTTTCAAAAGAAGTGGAAAACATCAGCGAACAAAATGTAATCATTTAAACTGAGGGCAGAGATGACAAGCTACAGTATATCAAACCTTTGAGTTGCTTCTCTGCTTTTGTGCTGCTTCACCTCTCTTAAACTTTTCCAAACCCCGCGAACGGCAGACAGTAGAGCCGCACATCTGTGAGATGTGAGGAGCTGAAAAGTGACAGGTTTTATCAGCCGCCTTTGGCAAAAGAATAAACACTGATGTTCAATCAAAGGCTGCAGTTAATAAGACGATGCTGCTTAAAACACGCCGTAAAAGCGAAGGGAATTTTTGCAATCATGTTTCTGTTCTGCTTTGACATTGTGCATGTGTGTGATGGTGTGATCCTGCACTGTACGTGTGTGCGTGTGTGTGTGTGTGTGTGTGTGGGGGGAGAGGGTAAGCATGTCTATCAAAGACGGTAGATTTTTTTTTCTTATGGGGTGTGTCCCTGCGAGCTCTTCACTTCAACCTTTGTCATTGTCGGTGTTGGATTAAGATAAACATCTGTGTGTGTGTGTGTTTGTGTGTGTGTGTGTTTGCGTGTGCGTGCGTGGATGCATGCAGAAGGTGTGCAGGCTCACCTCATTGCCTGCAGCAGCACTCACAGTTCTGCTACCGTTCAACACATCAAACATCTTTTTTCCTATTTTAGGGAGACGTCTGTGCGCACGAGCTGAAATAAATGCTTCTTTTTTTGTTTCGCTCTCTTGTCTTTTTCTGCAGCCAGGGTCAGAGTTTGTCACTTGTTTTTTTTCTGCAAGCTGTACAGTATTTTCAGCAAGGCTGTGTTAGGTGTGTCTTTATGGAGCACCACCACAACAGACGTCTTTTATTTACGTAAATATTCCATTTTCTTGTTTTGTAACTATTTAGTAAGTTAAAGTAGTGACAGCTGTTCTAAAGTAGGAATAAAAAGTTTTCAGTTAACATTTAGTTTAGTTTTTTCTACTTTAGCCAAAGTTGGAACCTGAAATACTCCTAAATATAAATTCTGCTAAAAACCACCTTGTTCAGCCATTTTTCTACTTTCACTTGATCATTTTTTAAGGTTTTCCAACATTTTAATGAAGAGAGAAAAGGCCTTTCGTTTCCTTAAAGCTACCCGGCATATGAGCGCGTCTTGACATGCATTTTGCAGTAGCTGCAGCGGGACGGAGCTGTGACCACTTCCTTGTTCCATTCTGGGCTGCCTTGACTTCCTGGCAGGGCCGGGCCGGGCCGAGTCGAGCGCTGCGAGCTTTAGTTTTCGTGACAAAGAAATAGGAACTGTCTGAAAATGAAGAAGTGAGGTCAGAACTGTTGAACATAATTAAAGGTCTTTTCTGCAAGGAGACAAAAAGGCGTAACAAGAAAAAATAAATGCACACACAGACGGACAGTAACCAGAGTTACAAAAACATTTAATTCAGGTTTTTGCAGAATGTCAAACGATTAAATGAAATCCAGACGTTTGGTCATTTAGCTTCTGTTACTTCAGACACTTCCACACTCTGACTTTGTTCTTCTTTTGTTTTCTTCATCTTCTAAATCTCACTTAAAACGAAAGTGTGGAAATCACACATTGTTTCACACTTTGCCCTACGGACAGTGGAACAGAGAGTACTCCAAGGGACGACAGAAACTTCGAGTTACGCTCTTGAAAACAGCTGAAATTAGTTGATCCTAAAGAAAATCAGGAAAGTAATGTTGAAGGGACCAAGTTTTGATTATTCTTTATATTTTCATAATGTTAGGCTTTACTGTACTGTCTTTATTGTAGCTTCCACCTTGCCTTTACTTTGTACACATTTGGGCCTTTATGTGAGCTGATAATGATGGAGAGACGCGTTACATTTAGAGAGAAAAAATATTTTACAATAACAACAAAATAAACAAACTATCCAAATTCTCTTAAACAACATTGAACAGTTAAACTAAAGTAAAGGTACAAACGTAATTTTGTTAGAGATGTAAAGATAAATGTGTAAATATTCAAAACTTACTCCATTATTAACACATTATTGGTATTTATGTTGCTTTTACTTTAGCTTGGAAGTGTATTATACATAAAGTATGAGTTATCAGACAATAAGGTGAAAGATTGGAACAAATAATCTGGTAATGAATAATTTATGAACACAAACTGTAAGTTTTTGTCATTTTTTTCTAGATTTGTTAAAAGTAGTAAAATGGCCAAAAAGCATTACATTTTGGAATAAATTATATAAACTTTACATTTTTGGCTGCTCAAAAGATGATAATAATCCAGAATTATATCACTCGTTTCTTCTGTAAACGAGTGATATAAACATTTGTCAGTGTAAGGGAGGTGATGAATTCAGACTCAATCAGGGAATCTTCAGTTGGTAAATTTTAGGTTACGATAATTTACAGTCATAAAATTGGCTGTAAAGTGTTTTTGCAAATGCTGAATCTAAATTTAAGCTTGTAAATTAGAAATAATGGATTTTCAAAATATCAATAACCCACCGTTCCCACTTCCTTATCAGTTCCTCACAAACATTTTAAATTTAAAAATGTGGGTTTAAATTTGACCAACACATTTCTTCTCACTGAAAGAGTAATTAGCATATTGGATTTGTAGAGGGAAAAATATTAGGGTGATGGTCGTGAGGCCTTCCAGCGTAAAAACTCATCTCCAACAATAAATGATCAAAACAGTGAAAACATCTAAAAACCCAGTCAGTAATTATGAGGAGGGTTTTATTGCTGTATTGCCAATGAATAAAATATTTCCCATTAACTATTGAGAAGGGTATAAATATAAATAAATATAATTTTAAAATGAAACGTCAATAAATACAAATAAGTAATGTTTCTTCAAATTGACACTGCTCTTAAGTTGTTTTTGTCCAGTCAGAATCAAAAATGTTAGTTGAATGACAGACTTTCAAATCAAAGTCTGTCGGGGTTATTAATAATTTTGTGTTTAACTGTAAATAAGGAGCAGGACAGAATATGAAATTATGTTTTTGCTTTGTTTTACTTTGTGCTGTGGTGATTCCTGATTCCTTTTAGTGAATGAATTTAATTAATACTTTCAATCTTATTAATTTAAATCTCTGCTAATGGATTTTGTCATATTTTCTGTTTCTAAAACAATAATTTGTTAGTTATTTTAATAAAGCATGTATTATTCGGTTTGTTTTTAAGCCAAATTTAAATTTCTAGATATTTATTGTTTATTTATCAAAGGTAATAATGAGGGAAATGAGAGTCTCTAATAAACAGAATGGTATAGAGTAATGAAAGTATTTTACAACCTTTGTGTTTTGGGCCACAGAAATGTAGAAGCTAATCTATACTTTTCATACATTTCATTGAGTTTTGTGCTGTTTACCTGTAGAATAATCTAAAGGATCAGGGAAGTAAAAAGTTATGTTGTATAATTCCCACAAACCTAAAAGTCTATTTTATGTTAACCAATTTTTATCGTTTTTATTTTATTCTTTACATAATCCAACACAGATTATAGGAAATGAGTTATAATCCAGTCATTTTAGATTAATGTCTCACTTGTTTTAAAAACTAATCAGAGAACTGTTCAAAGGCTGCATAACCCTCGGTTAGTCATTAACTGAAATTAACTATGAGATTAGATCCGTATTTGTTTCTGCTAAATATTCAGCATTTTTCCTCTAACTGTTTTAAATAATTAAGTTTTTGAATGTGAAACAAAGGCACAGATCGACCTCTTCCCTCAGTAACTGAATCATTTCTCACCGGTGCTCTAATAACTGACACAGTGAGTCTGAACGAGGCGGTGAAATGTCACTGCAGAGAGCGTGCATCTCTGCTCAGAGCTGTGAAACAACAACGCACCAAACCACATCCTGACTCTCTTTGTCTCACAGACCCTGATCACATTGTTCATCTTCTGTCAGGAGGAAAACTGAAGCACTTTGGGATGCTTAAAACAGACGTTAAAATATTAGTACAAGTTATTATTCTTTTTAAATTGTGCTTAAATGAGCATTTAAAAAATAATAAACACATAAACCTCAACAAGAGCTAAAAACAGGGACCCAACATACATCATACAAAGTATTAAAATTAAAATTTTATTCAAACTTTTTGTGTTTTGTTTAGTTTTTATTCATGAGTGGTGGTTTGGACAGCAGTATAGTAAGTACTGAGTATCTACATGCTAGTGCAAAGCAGGAAGTGGTGGTTTGCTTACTGAAATAGCAAGTGTGGTTCTGTCATGTTGCCAGGGCAACCAGGTTTGACAGAGCTGCCTCATCCAGATAAGTCGGCCATCTTCCTCTTTCAGGCTGATAATGCTTTCACGTTGTTTTTAACAAAAATAAAATGATCCTCAAAGAAAGAAATATAAAATAAAAACTTCTGTTTGTTTAAAAAAGTGTTTGTTTAGTGTGATGGTGTGTATGATTTCTTTACATAAGGTAATTTTCTTTTCTTTTTATATTTTCAGGTCAAGAGAAAAACACGAGTAAGTAGTGATTCATATTTAGCCAAAATAAAATTTTGGTTAAATATGTATTTATTCATTAAATGCAAATGCTTAGTTCCTAAAAGCCACCAGCTTTGCTTCATGTTGCCCAAACCTTTAAAGCTGCTCAGTCTTCCTACATTGTCTTCATATACAACCACCAGACTCAGAGACAGCGGCGGTTCTAGACCAAACTTACCAGGGGGCCCAGTGTTTTCTCCTGGGGTGAGGAACAAAAGAACAACAACAA